CTAGACCAAAACTTTTATTGTTGCAAATATATTTAACAATAGCATCAAATGTGACTATATATACATGAAATTCACTAGATTAAAGACACAGGAAATAAATGGACTGCATCTGTAGGAAAAGACTACGGAGATACAGTTTCATCACTTAAAACAAGGCCAATGGGCAATTGTAGAATTGGTCATCAATTACTCATATGTAAGCTCATTAAAGTTGAAAAAAATTAAAGAAATCCACAAAAGGCAAAATAAAAAACACTTGATTGTATCCCATCTAAATTTAGAAAGCATCTCAAAAGCAAAATGGCACATTACAAACTAATGACTGAAGAGCAGACAGATTTTGGGATGGCATAAAAATATCGTATAGAAAGAAAGCAAACGGTCACTTCAGTGAGAAAGAAAGAAAATGTCAAACGCGTGTCAGGAGAGATTCGGAAGCTTTCTCTTTAGTATAGAGTAGCTAACGTAAATTGAAGGAATAATGGCGTAAAGTAGCTAAACAGAAAATTTTAAAGAGCAGCTCAAAATTACAAAATAAATTTTTATAATGATATGCTCAAAGGCTTAGAGTTAGAAATCAATAAAGAACATACTCAGCATCTCTAAAATTCGATTAAATTCTAACAAAATAAAACAAATAAAATCGAAATAACTCAAACTTCAAGTGGCAATATTAAATTACTATGTAAGAAATATATTGATTTGTGCAGGAAGCATCAAAAGAAAAAACGAGACACTTCACTGGAGACACTTAAAAAAAATCATTTACTGTGCCTAAAAAACTGGTTGGCATTTAACCATTTCAAGGAATAGCATGACTGAGAACCAATGGTAGATACTGAAAGAAGAAGCTGCACTTAAGACATTAATGGCATAAATGTTCTAATGAAGTACATATTAATCTCTGCCACGAAAATTGGGCAAAAGCTACCTGGTCAACCAACTGGAAGAGATTGATAGTTGTGCCCACTCTAAAGAAAAATGACCCAACAAGATGCAGCACTCCTTGAACAACATCATTGATATGACATGCCAGTAACATGTTGCTACAGTCATTCAAGTCAGACTGCAGCGGTACATGGAGAAGGAGCAGAGAGAAATTGAAACTGGATTCTGAAGAGAACATGGGATGAGGGATATCAATGCTGACATATGATGGATCTTGACTGAAAAGAGTCTATAACGAAAATATACTAATTGTGCTTTATCAACCTTGCAAAAGCATTATACTGTGTAAACCACAACAAATGATGAATAACATACAAAAAGAAGGAATTCTAGAGCACTTCACTGTGCTCATCCAGAACCTTTTTTTTGGATGAACACACATTTATTTAGTTGGAACATGGAAATTTCACTGTTTGTTGTAAAATTAGAAAATCTGTGCATTAGGGTTGTATTTTTCATCATACTTATTCAATCTGTCTGCTGAGCAAATAGCCTGAGACATGGAGTATATGAAGAAGAATTGGAGGAATGCCTATTAACAATCTGTGATATAAGGGTAGCACAGCCTTGTTTGATAAAACTAAGGAAGACATGAAAAACGTGCTGATGAAATTCAAGGTTGATTACAACTTCAGTACTGATTACAACTCAATGTACAAAAAACAAAAAGCCTCTCAACTGGACTAACAGACAACATAATTATAAATGAAGAAAAGTTTAAAGTCATGAATTCTGCTTTACTTGGATACAGTCAACAGCCATGGAAGCAGCAGTCAAGAAATCAAAGGGCTGAGCTGACCCCTACCCTAGAGATATATGCTACAGAAGACAACACTAAACCTACACGCTGGGGAGAGGGCCCTGCCTGCCACGCCCTCAGGAGGCAAACCAAGAAGAAAGAGAGTGTGGGTCTAGACCCCATATCAGCACACCAGGCCCTGAGGATGAAGTCCCTGAATGGAGCTGCTAAGGCACAGGAGGACTGTAGGGCCTCCAATAGCCCGACACATGATATGTCTCCTCACTGGAGCATCCTGCAACAGAGGACAATACTGGGGACACCCTGTGGGGAGTTAGTCCGGTCTGAACACCCCCACAGCAGGGCGAACCAAGAAGGGAACAGAACAGATCAGCAATGGGAGCAAAGCCAAGCCACAAAACCCCTTAGGAACCCCAAAATAGGCTTCAGGCTGGGAGGAGCAGTTCCTGGCACCTCCCAGAACTGGTGGGGAAATAGTCATAAAGGTCGGTGGACAGACTTAGAACTATGTATGCTTTGGGGTTTTTTGCTCGTTATCTATTTTCCCCTTTTTATTCAATATTTTATGTTCTTTTGTTTCATCTCTGTTATTGTTGGTTGGCCATATAAGGTATAGGAAGCAAGCTGGAGGAGAAAGCAATGGGACTGACAGTTAGGGAGGAGGAGATGGGGGCGGGGAAGGAAATGGTGAGCAAACTATGCCATACACAGGAGAACAACTAAGGAATTACAATCAACAAAGAGGGGGACATAGAGATCCTGGGGTTTCGGAGCAACAGCAATCTAGCTGAGAGGAACTACTAAGAGGCAGAAGAAGGGCAAGTGTAATGGTGGGGCAGGAGGAAGTATTTCCCCACCAGTCTGGGAGGTACCAGGAACTGCCCCTCCCAGCCTGAAGCCTATTTTGGGGGCCCCTAAGGGGTTTTGTGGCTTGGCTCCCATTGCTGATCTGTTATGTTCCCTGCTTGGTTCTCCCTGCTGTGGGGGTGTTCAGACCGGACTAACTCCCCACAGGGTGTCCCCAGTATTGTCCTCTGTTGTAGTATGCTCCAGTGAGGAGACAATCATGTTCTGGGCTATTGGAGGACCAATAGGAAAGCTTTGCTTACCATAGCTAGTAAGCAAAGCTATAGATAGAGGTATACACATAGGTGTATACTTACGTAAATATATTAATTCATAAAAATAGAGGTATTGGCCTATGTACATATATTTATATGGCAATGCATTGAGGCAGTGGACAGACTTTGGGTCTCTGCTCAAGCTCTCCCTCAATGCAAGAACACTGTTTTAACAACCTGGCATTCTGTGATGCTCACACTCCAGACAAAATGGGTGTATAAGCAAATGTGGTGAAGAAAGCTGATGGTGTCAGGCTATCAAACGATATAGCATCTGGGATCTTCAAGGCTTGAAGTTAAATAAGCGGCCATCTAGCAGAGAAACAACAAGCCCACATGGAAGAAGCACATCACCTGCATAATCATGAGGTTTCAATGGGATCAGGTAACAGGCATCATAAGACTCCAAACAACCAAAGAAACAAGAAAACATATTGTTGAGAATGAGGGGGCCCGGAGCAGAGACCCAAAACCCATCTGTAGACAATGGGATGTCCCCTCACAGAAGGGTCACAAAAAAGGGATGAGTCAACCAGGGTACAGTATAGTTCTGATGAAACACACAATATTCCTCCGGTTCCTTAAGGCATCCTCACCCCCCACTATCGTGACCCCAGTCCTCCCTTTCACTTCAGAGTAGACCGGAGGAGCATGTACTCTGGTACAGACAAGAGCTCACGTCCCATGGAATCCAGGTCAGATATACCCTTCAGGAACAAATGGGAGTGGAAATATCAGGAAGGTAGGGGGAAAGGAGAGAGGAAGGGGGAACCAATCACAATGATGGACACATAACCACAGCCCTCCCCACCCCCAGGGAGGAACAACAGACACCAACCGTGGAGGAAGGGAGACAGCAGTTAGTGTAATATATGAAAATAATAATTTATAATTTATCAAGGGGTCATGAGGGTGGGAGTGCGGAGGGGTGGAGAAAGAGGAGCTGAAACAAACGGCTCAAATCAAAAGTAAATGTTTAGAAAATAATGATGGCTACATATGTACAAATATGCTTGATACAATTGATGATGGATTGTTACAATATCAGTAAGAGACCCCAATAAAATTATCTTTTAAAAATAAAATTAAATGAAAAAGAAATAATAAAAAATAAAACACCTAAAAATGTAAAAGAAAGAAAAGAACTCAAAGGACTTCGTGCACAGGCAAATCTGCTACACAAGCCCGCTTTAAAGAATTAAAGACAAAGAAGTCGCTTTGAAAATTCAGACAGCTCTGACCAATTCAATAGGTCCAGACTGTGTGTCCTCCTCCTGGCATAACTTGGATCTTGTAAAACCATCTGGTCTTTGAAAACTGACTGTGTCAATTAGTGAGGCATGACTGTGTATGCACACACACTGTAAAACTATCAGATATTTAGAGAAAACCAATTTGGTGCTTATCAGTAATTATCTTCTAATACAACAGTGTTCTTATATCTTATGTTATTTATAATCTGAAAAATATTTCTCTAAATTAAAACACATATTTAAAAGTTCAGTATATTCACAGTAAAACAAACTTGGAAGTAAAATTAAACTATAAAAATTGAGATCAGAAAGTATAATATAATTTGAATTGAATCCACATTTTCATAAAAATCTAAACTTACTGTGTGTGTATATGTTGGTTCCAAGCTACTTCAAATTGTTTAAATGGTCGGTTAATGATTTAATGGTAATCAAGTCATATTTAACTTCCTTTGTAAAAAGAGACCTCAAGCCACCGAGGGAAGTCAGTTGAATGCTGCTCTTGCACTCTCTTTGCTCTAAAGACCCCTAGGTTTAACTTTCAAGGTAATGGTTTGGACCAAATGCAATCACTTTAAAAAGCTTGGTAAAAAAATAAAGGAAAAAAAAGTCATGGATTTTACTGACCATTCTGAGGCATCACTACACATAAATATACCTTACTAGATCAGTTTACATGGACACAATATATTGATTCCTTTCTTTAGGGATTTGTAATCTGAGTATAAAATGAGCAAACTGACAAATGCAACTCCCATTCTACTGAAATGTCAAATATAGGTTTCTTGCATATTTAGTATTATGAAAAAAGCCGCTGGTTTATAAAGACAGCATACAGTAGTCATGTTGCAATGTGCCAACAGTCTATGCTGTGTAGGACCTCACATTAACCCCGGTGTCTCGCTTTTTCCCATGCAGAAATGTTGGAATCTAACAACGTGGTCACTTTCCACGGCTTGCCCAACAGTTCCAGTTACCACACCTTTCTCTTGGATGAGGAACGGAGTAGGCTGTATGTTGGAGCAAAGGATCACATATTCTCATTCAACCTCGTTAATATCAAGGATTTTCAAAAGGTATTTTTCTTTTAATGCATGTACTTTATTAGAAACATCTAGTTATAGAGAACTCACAGAAAATGGATTTAAATTGATATTTTATGATTACAGATACAAATATAAAAATAATGTTATATAAGAACTTGTACTTAAAAAATATTTGTGTTCTTGGTGACGGGAATATACATAGTGGAACATACAATGATTCAGTCACTTCTACATGTAAAATTCAGTAGCATGAACTTTATTGCTGAAATTCTACAATCCTTTTCATGTGTTTTTGTAGCGATTCCTCCCTCAATGCCCCTAACTTCAACTTGTCCTTGCCCAGTTAAATCATTGTTTTCCTATATAAAGTACGTATGTAAGCATTTGTAGATATACATAATGACTTATTTTATACATTTATATGTGAATAACTACATACAGGTCTCTAGATTGCCTACAAGAGGAAAGGTTGTTGGTAGGGAAAATGTAGCCTACAACTTGTGTTTGTAAAAATAGATTTATCAGAACACAATTGTATTCATTATTGTGTATGTCTACGTTCTTGCAACAATTACAGGTTTGAATAATTCTGACAGAAGTCATCTGACCCAAATGGCTAAAATCTTTAAAAATAAAAGTTTGCTCATGGTTATTTTTAAGCATGAGCACTCTAACATTTTAAACGTTATTCTTTAGAGAGATTCTAACTTGTTTTATTAATATTACACAGTTTGGAACAAGTCAAATTTTAACTTTTATTTATGCACCACTGTACATGAAAATAAAAACAAATGAAAAGAAAAAATATACACACATGAAAATCATAATGATAAAAGCAAATATATCTCCAAGAATTGTTGAATATTTATAATAGTGACATACCCGTGAAATCCATAAATCATGTTTATTAAAGGTTATTTAAACATAGCCCAATTTTTTAATAAACACACTGTGTTTTACTTTTTAATGTCTTATTTTGAGTATTACATTTCCCCCCTAATTTTATGTCAATATATTGATTTGTTATGCCCCAGTAGATGTAGATGTGATTGGAATTTATTAGAGAATCTGAAAATTTTGTATTATAATTTCAATAAACTATTTGTGTTAAGGAGAATGCATTCACAATTCTCTAAACCTTCAGAATTCTCTTGGCTCATCTCCATCACTTTAGTCACACGTCATAGAATCCTTAGGAAGGAGGAGCAGAAGAAAGGCTTAGCATCTCCTTCCAAACTAACAACGTCATTGAGAATATTACAGAGGGAAGTTCTACTCTGAATCACATGGAAGCAATAGGAGTTAAAATTGACTAGAGGCAACTGGTTTGGGTTTTGATTCACAAAAGAAGCTTTGGACAAAAACAAAAAGAACAATCGCATCTTAATTTAAGGTTTTCTGATGAACTAGGGAAGGGTGATAGATTTTTTTTATAGCTACAAATTTGCTTCTACTGTTATACCCCAATATAAGCAGTGGTATTCTTAACTGTTTTCCTTGTCCAAAAAAGAGAAATATAAATTGGATGGGTTTTCTACCTATGCTAGTGTTCATTTTAACATCCCTTGATGATATCTGGGTTGGAAAAATGGATTCAAGGCACCTCAGATCTGCAAACTTTGAATCAATATCCCATGAAAGAGGAAGACCAGCTAATTTAGAGTATGAGCTGTGTTCTCCTCAGATTATAAACTCTCTTCACTAAATTGTCATCTCTTCAATTTGAACTTCTCCCAACGAGTCACAATTCTTTTCATCTCACACATATATGTTTACCTAGTTTATTTTTGATTTGCTCATCCATTATGCCTCTCACTCAAACCTTAATGGGTAGTAGGAGAGGGAATGATTTAAATCCACAGCAATTAACTGATGTGATTGTCAAGTCTCAACGTTAAGGTCTCTGCCACCTAGTGACTTATGGCACATTCATAATTTGTCTTCATAGTTTGGTCTGAAAGTTTACATGACATCAGATCTGTTAGAGAACAGCTGTAAAGTAGTACTTCTTCTCTGCCCTTAGATTGCGTGGCCTGTTTCTTACACAAGAAGAGATGAATGCAAGTGGGCTGGTAAAGATATCCTGGTAAGTTATTTCAGTAATTGAATAGGTAATTTATTATTCTGTGCTCTACTTTTGTGCAGCATTCCATTAAGCACCACAAATGATACTTTTGTATAAAGTGTAGTGATTATAAAAATAATCATAATCCTGAGTAAAAGCAAAATACTTTAAAAGATAAATTAACAATATGAAATCAAATAGTATACATACTTATTTCTATACATCAATTTATTTGTATAGGTTGATTTCTATTTGATAATTTATCTTGAATGATAAACAAATAGTCACTTGTCAGTATTTATGGTTCAAACACCCTTCCTTCTTTCTATTTCTCTCTCACTTTGCCCATGCATTACTTTCTCTGTCCCATTCTCCTCCCTTCTCCCCACTTCCTCTTTTCCTTGCAACCATGTGTAAATGCATTTATCAAACAGATATGGGTAGGAGATTTACCATGGTCAAGGTGATGGACATTTTGCACCATCTCTGCAGTACATAAAGGTCATCTGTGACTGATGGACAGAAATTGCTTTCAGAGAGCTCTTATGATGCTGAGAAGTGCACGCAGGAAGCTGGAGTCGCTTTTGTGGCTATCAGCTCCAAGATAGCAGGGTAGCCAGACAGGAACTGACCTGAACATGTTAGAAATGTTCGACTGCCTTGAGTATTCTCCATGGTTGCTGGAAGCTGAGCTAGCCCTTTCCTCCTGCATTTAGTCAGTGTTTCTTCAAAGAGTCAACTGGGAATAAAGCTCTTTTAAACAAGCCATTCTGGGTAATTGCTGTCTTCTTATTTACAATTTATATGCAAGGATACAACAGGAAAAGTGGAGAGAAACAACACTGGCTAATTTGATGCCATTTGAGGGGACAGTTCTTAAATGTACTGGAGAGGAAAATTGCATTCCGATGTTGAACGTGGCAGTCAGTCACCAGGAAAAGCAGGCATGTCACTGTGTAAACCCACAGAGCTTCTGCCTCACTCAGCGCAGCATCGTGCAGAACGGTGAACCAGTGTTACATGAAGCTGGGATGACGGAGCCAGCATGGCTCAGTGTTGCATCAAACACATATGTTAAATCAGCCACTGGAATATCGGCCACTGAACATGAACTTTATGGTCAAAGGGAATCTGAAGCTAGGGACACATTCTTATGCTCTCAGAAAACCCATCCTTTCCTTTCTTCCCTGCTCATAGTAAAACTTCTGACAACAATAGTAATCTAATAGATAGATAGATAGATAGAATCTTTTATAAGTCAGTATATGGCTATAAAAATGTTACCATACTAATATCTTTTATTTTACATTTCCATGGCATTTTAATCATTACTAAAAGCCAGACCAAACCCATGGTCATTGCTAAGTTGATTACAACTCATAGTGACCCTATAGGATGGTGGAGAACCGTGCCTGGATTTGAGCTTGCAAAGCTCTGTGAAAGCAGGCAGCCTCACCTAGTTCCCATGAAGCAGTGTGTGGGTTTGAACTACTGACTTTGTAGTTCGCGGTCCACTTCTTCCCCCCACTGTAACACCAGGACACCTTCTCCTCAAAAGGAGTGAAAAGCTCATGAATTTTTCCATTGATATTTGAAGATATTTGTAGTATGTGCATACTATTGGTCAATGACCAAGCAAGGTGGTCAGTACATTCATTGCAGGCACCTTCATTCCATGGCTGTCATCAACATTTGTCCTCACTTCCTGCTATTTTTCTGGTGCTTAAAATCCACTTTGTTATTCACAATAACAGTTTTATTGGTGGCTTAACTACAGTGACCTTTTTTTTTGCAAATGAAAGCTGAATACATGCAAAGCTGGTGAAAAAATCTGTTTCGAATCAACAGCACTCTGATTCTTCTTTGTTTCTCCTTCTAAACCATCTCTCTTTGCACCAGGCTCAATAAAACCAAATGGCATCCGTACGACTGTTAGAAATATTTTGAACATAGTTGGAAATCAAAATTCAACCATCTGAGAAGGAAAAAAAGCAGATTCTCATAACAATCTCATTCTTGGAAACATTTCAAAGTAATACCATGCACCTGAACTCTGGTGCTTCTTGCAATTCTACAGGGATTTTTTTAAATATATATTTTTTGAATTAAATTGCTATGTACTTTTAATGCTATGGTTGATCATATCATTTTCATCAAACTTCCCATGGCTCAAATTTTAGGAAGGTAATGACACTAATTTCCAAGTGAGAATTTGAACTGCCCATGTGTCTTCAGTTGGATTGTAGTGCAATATGCACACATTTACCCTTGAATTTAATTTAGGTTTTCAGAGTCAAAGTTGACACCAACTTTTACCTTTAGATTTTATTTAAGGCATGAAAAAAATTGTCCAGTAGATAATTAGATGTGTCTCTTAATTTCCAAGCCCATAAATTTCATAGATTTCATTAAACATGTAAGAATCCATATGTATACTTGTCAGAAGACAATTTTTCATGAGTCTCACAATTCTGAAAGTCTTATGAAGAGAGGTACTGATTGCTTTTATTCTGGGTGATCTGTGAGCATGCTGTACAATAAACAATGTTGGAAGATGGTTGGTGTCTCCCTCTGAAGCAAAGGGCTGGTCAGCAAGCAGCCTTGGGAAATAAAACTAGTGAATTTTTCTTGAACAAAGGACCACTTTCCATGTTATGAAGGATAAACCTAAAATTCTCCTCCAGAGCTAAAGACCAGTGTGCTTATACCTATTATAAGATATTAAAGTTCTTCAATCCCATGGTTCCTTGCCTAGGATGTAATTTACTGAATGTAAATTACATGTGTCCCCAGTAGGAATGGAGGCACAAGATATGCTCATACTCTTGCTAGTGTGCTTTCTATGACTTACAAAGTCCTTTGTTTCTGACCCAGAGAGTCAATATGCTCAGCCACCATCTATAACATTGTGGCAGTCCAACTTGTTATCTTTTAATGGCACAACCTCAGAGCCTTGAGTTTTTCACGGTTTTGATTTTTACCTAGAATATTTTTTTGTGTGTGAGCATAGTAAATAATCCCAAATGAGAAATTATAGTCAGTTCAGTCATTTAAAATATAATGATCCCCATGATTAAATCTGATAACAGAATGAGTACACAGATAACTGATTTATAACAAAGATTAATGAAAATTGCTTTATTAAGTGTTACAAAAACTGGCATAGATTGGTATGTGGTAGTAACTTCTGCTTGGAGTTAACTGATCTGAGTGATTACAGTCTAAATGCATCATTGGACTGAATAAGAATAATAATAAGCATTTACTGAAGCTTATTTTAAACTTGACATTTTTCAAAAGGTAACATATGTATTAACTAATCTGTTACTGTTAGCTGCTGTCGAGTTGATTCCTACATATGCTCAACCTAGGTATGTCAGAGTAGAACTCTGTGTCATGGGGTTTTCCTTTGGGAGCAGACTGTCAAACCAAGGTGCTAAGGGGTCTCTAAGTGTATGTGAACCACTAATGTACTGAGCCATTTGTGTCATCCAGAAAACCATTAATGAGTTTAGGTGGCTAATATTTAGTTAATCAGCTGCTTGTTTTATTATATCAAAGGTAAATGTAAGAGATTAAGGAAACAGGTTTTATATCTGTATTGGAGATTATATATATATATCCCTGCAGAAATAGCATTTTGAAGGTTTGCTAATAAATTTCTTTAGAGACACTGGATTTTTTTATTATTTTAAATTAATGCATTTTACTAGTAAAGCAAAAGAAGATGGTAATTATATATATTGGTTATGCATTGAGCAGATAACTGTTCCATGGGAGAAAAATGAGACTGCCTACTCTTGTAAAGATTTAGTCTCAGAAACTCAAAGAGGCAATGCTACCCTGCCCTGTAGGATCACTATGAGTCCAATTCGACTGCAAGGCAGTGAGTTTGGTTTTTGATTTTGGCTTTGACATGAATAATTCTCATGTATACAAACATAGTTTATTTGGAAATATTTAAGTTTTAATACTAAAATTTAACTTCTTACATTTATAAAACTAAATATATTTGCAAAGATCAATTATAATAATAGAAAACTTTAGGGGAAAAAACTGGGCTTAAAAATTTTGCCTATATTTTTTTATATATTAGAAATTTATGGGTTTTTTTTCTTAAAAGCCTGAAATGAAGTTCAAATGTTTCAAATTGGTTTAAAATATTATTTAGATGTGATTTTATACCATTAATTCTCTTATGAATCAATGTAAAGACTTTTAGAATACAGTAAGTCATTTATCCTCTGTAAGGTTCACTAGAATGAATTGGACTATTTCTCTGGGTTTTGGCCAGTGTCTTCTGAATTCCTAGCAAACTGCTGCAAGTGCAACTGACATAAGGTTTCTATAAGTCTTCATCTGTATTATGCTCCTTTCTGTGCTGGATAGTTTTGGTAGATGGATTTCTATTCATTTCTGACAAATCACAAATCCAATCACAGAATTAACATATATTCCGGGAATACATAATTGTCTTTTCAGCAATTCACTGCCATCTAGTAAATTCAGACTCCCTGTAGAATGGAGTAAATGCCCTCGCCATACAGTGGTTCTGTGTTGGGCTGCAGTTCATGGTCGGTGGTTCAAAACCACCAGAAGCTCCACGGATTCCCCTTACAATTTAAATTCAAACTCATTACCATAAAGTATATGTCAACTCACAACAACCCTGTACATAGAGGGGGTAGAACTGTCCCTGTGGCTTTCTGAGACTGTTAACTCTTTATGGGAGTAGAAAGCCCCTCTTTCTTGCTTATGTTATAACGAAAAATCAAACAAACTTGTAGACTGCCATTGAATCAATTCTGTTTCATAGTAAATAAGATGTAAATTGTTATGGGAGCAGAGAGCCTTGTCTTTCTTCCATGGAATGGTGTGCAGGTTCAAAATGCTGACCTTTAGATTAGCAACCACAACTAATAACCCACCAGGACTCCTCACTATGCAAATGGCAAATAGACTACCAATGAGTCTATTCCCAATCATAGAAACACTGTGGAAGAGCTGACCTGCTCCCACAG